TGATTGCATCATATAATAATTGCTGTTAATAGTGTTCATCGTCTGTTTGATTACGTCTTTAATTGATTACGTCTTTAATTGATTTTTCAACACTGAAACAAACGGCGGGTGGGTCTCCAGGAGAGGGAGAAATGAAGATGACACAGATATATAGTTTATATTTGACCTGGAAGTATTTATTTAGGGATTGGCGCTAAAACGTCATCTGTACGGAACATCGTTGTGTACGGAGCATGGTTAGTCTATGTTAACAGAAAATTCCCATACGACAGACTTCTTTTTCATATAACGAAAAATTTTAGTGGTCTTGAAACTTGACTTTTCCAAACCGCGGTATACCTTGAAACCAGTTATCGTCCCATGCCTATGAACGACCCACAGGAACGACAGCGGTGGGTTTTCTGTGTGTGTATATGATCACATGGAGGGTTACACCACAGGGTCACTAAGTGCAAAGAAAGGCATTGGAAAACTCAATGGAAATGAATGGACTAATTACATAGTTAACAACTCCGACAACTGGTCACATACAAATCAAAGTGAAAATCACTTGAAATGAGGATCTGTGAGGCGTTTAGCAGCACCTGCATGTCTGCAACCATCATGACACCTGTGGTGTTTACAGAGGAGTTGAAGATTAATGGTCCAAAAAGACAAGAGATCATTACAATTAACAACCAAAGATGCATCGAAATGTAATAAATCCATCACCAGGCAGAAAACTATAAGACGATGAGTTTCTGGGAGTGATTTAGACATGCGCTGATCAACCAGTGTAGACACGCTTTCTAGCAAAATCCAGAAGAGAACTGACGTGCAGCACAGGCATTCATACAAATGGCTTCATAAAACTTTGCAAATATAAAGTTTATTGTTACAAATGCAACACTTTTAAAATCTTTCCCGTGAGAGAATCCCCAGAACTACAGCTAAAGACCAACGATTTTGCTCACTTTTGCCAGGGTATGAAATGATCACTAAAACACTTTTGCAGCACTTTTGAAATCCTTTTATTTTTAGACACTCTGTCAGTTTAAATCTAGATTAAAGACCCATCTCTTTAACCTGGATTGCACATAATACACTAACACATTTCTAATATTCAAATCCGTTAAAGATTGTTAGGCTGCATTAATTAGGTTAACCGGAACCGGGAACACTTCCCATAACACCCGATGTACTTGCTACATCGTTAGAAGAATGGCATCTATGCTAATATTAGTCTGTTTCTCTCTTATTCCGAGGTCACCGTAGCCACCAGATCCAGTCTGTATCCAGACCAGATGGTGGATCAGCACCTAGAGATGACCTCGACAGCCCTGAATGTCAGCAGAGACCAGGACAACTAGATAAGCCTCAGAGACAGGTCCCCAGTGAAGACCTCGTCACCTTGACCACCATCAGCACGAGACCACGAGAACCAGACGAGTCCTCTGCACAATCTGACCTGTGCTGCAGCCTGGAATTATGCTGGTTTGGTCTGGCCAGAGGAGAACACTTAATTTCTGGCAATATTGTCGGCTTGATTGCACAGAGACTACTGGAATAGAGCTGAACTGGATGATGAATCACTGAATCATCAATGAACTGACTTTAACTGAAAAACTGAGCGTTTTCTATTGTCCTCTTGCATTATCAGCACACTATTTTTCTGTTTAATACTGTAAACCTGC